GGAAGCAGGCTCCAGGCTCTGAGCTGTCAGCACAGAGCCTCACATGGGGCTTGAACCCACGAACCGTGAGATCATGACCTGAGCCAAAGTAGAATGTTAACCAAGTGAGCCAGGTGCCCCCAAACAAGAGCATTTTAAAGCAGATAATCAAAGTTGAGCACTTTGGAGAAGTGTCTTGCCCAGCATTGTCAGTTACCGATGCCCTATTTATTACACATCTCTCCGATCATTCGCTAAAAATGAGTCAAAAACACAACGGACAAGGAACAAAAGCCTTGCTCTGGTAATGTTTCACAGCGAGGCGGACTGGAGGCTGCCTGGGGAACATGAAGAGTGGACGTGCCGTCACGTGCAGGACGCGAACAAACACGTCCTCTCGCCTCTGCAGAAGCAGAACGAGATGCCGTCGTGCCCTCACATGCAGAAGGGGACACCGAGCATCAGAGCAGTGGCAGGACTCATCTAAAACCACTGGTAGTGGGCGTCCGGCTGGCTCAAGCGATACAGCACACGACTCCTGATCTCGGGGTTGTGAGTTCGAGCCCCACCGTGGGTGTAGAGGGTACTTAAAAATGCAATCACTGGTTGTAGGTGACCCTGCCAGGAGAGTTTGGCCCTTCCTGCCTAACTTCGTGAGGACCTAGGACGCCGGCCCCTAGTGCCGCACCTGGTACGGAGATGCTGTGACCGCAGCTGGTGCCAGCACCGAGCCTGTCTCAGAACAAAACGGCTCAGACGGGAACTCCGGAAATCACAACACGACACTAATGGTTAACTGTAGAATAACGTAGGGTATGAGAAAAGGTCTGATGCGTATAATTACAGGGAAAGGTAAAGAATATCGGAACTGGCAAAATCGCAGCGGTTTCTTCACACGCAGGAAGAGTGGAGAACGTTCTACTCTTAAAATACACAGAAATAACTGCCAGTCAAGGTTAATCTGTATGTATTAGATCAAGACGGACTAACTAGGGTCCCGAAGGAAAGACTGTCCACAGGTAACAGAGTTACTTCCCACAAGGCACAGGCTAAGAGAAGGCTAATTACTAGGCGAGACCCATTCATTACGTGGACTGGATACTTACAGCAAGGAATAGCACTTCAGCAGTAAAGAAACACAGACTGAAACTATGATCTAAAAAAAGGTTATAAAGAGGTGGATTTTTAGAAATGCCAGTTCTTAGGGAATTTGGGGGGGAACTTATTTTTGATAGTGGGAATGTAACTTTTCCGCAGAACAGCTAGACAAAGGATACAACGCTCTGACACAGCAACTGGGTTTGCCAATTTACCTGAGATGTTTTTATTTTCATTTACTTATACTTCCAAAGAATTTTTTATTTTTTTATCTTTTAATGTTTATTTATTTTTGAGAGTCTGAGACAGACAGAGCACCAGTGGGGTAGGGGTAGAGACAGAGGGAGACATAGAACCCAAAGCTGTCAGCACACTGCCCAATGCGGGACTCGAACTCATGAACCACGAGACCACGACCTGAGTCAAAGCTGGACACTTAACGGACTGAGCCACCCAGGCGCCCCATATCGAAAATGTTTTTAAAGAAACAATATTCTCAGCGGAGCACCTGGGTGTCTCAGTCGGTTGAGCATCCGACTTCGGCTCAGGTCATCATCTTGTGTTCATGAGTTCAAGCCCCATGTCGGGCTCTGTGCTGACAGCTCGGGGCCTGGAGCCTGCTTCGGATTCTGTGTCTCCCTCTCTCTCTGCTCCTCCCCTGCTCACACTCTGTCTGTCAAAAATTATAAAGATTAAAAAAAATTTAAAAAAAAAGAAATAATATTCTCAAAAGAAGAAAGCTAAGTTAAAAAGCAACATTCAAATCAGTGCTTGTTTGTAACTATGTTTTCATTCTCTTCAGAAACCTCGCTTCTTATCCAATCTAATTTAGAAAATCAATGTTTCCTAGTGAAAAGGTTTACAAAGACGCTGCCCAGTCCAGAGCAAAAACTGTATTGTTAATCCTCATTTCTGAATAGAAACTACGCATTTATAAAAAACCACTGCCAATGGGCTGCCTGCAATGCCCTGCAGACCAGGAACCAGTACTCACGGTGTGCTCCCGTGTCAGACAGCAGGGTAATTCAGACCACTATGCTCTCGGGAATCCGGC